AGCGGGGGCTGGGGGTTGCCAGGGGCTGCAGTGGCTGCCCAGGGCAGGCTGCTCCCAGCAGCACTTGGGGTAAGGAGTACCTTCCGCTCATTAGAAAGCGACAGGCTGGCGGGGAGCGAGGCCTGGACTCTCCCAGGCCACCTTCCCTCGTCACCGTCACCGCCATCTGAGCAGGCCCCTCCCTGCCGAGCGTGCACAGGCCACACGTGAGCCCAGGGCCGCCCCGGGACAATGCGGTGCTCCTGGTCCCGCCGAGCCAGCCCCGGGCACTCCAGGCTCTGCCCAGCACCCTCGCCTCCCGGACAGAACATCGCCCAGGCAGCAGCCTGTTTTGGTTTGGGGCCCTCACCACAGAGGGACGAACAGAAGCCCCCATGAGGACACCTGCGAGGAAGCAGCCGTGCAGAGAGGAAGCGGATGCCACTCCCCCAAATCCCGGAGCTCCAAGCCAACCAGCCGCGGCCGAGCTGCGACTGCTCCTGTGGCTCAGAGTGCGACTCGCGGACCGACAGCCATGGCCCCGGGAGCTCAAAAGCCAGCCCAGCAGCGAGGGCGCCTGCACGGGTCAGGGTGCGGCTGCAGCTGCCTCCGGGGGTCCGAGGAGTTTTGGCACCGGCTCCGGCCGGAAGGGGCTCAGCTGCCAGAAGTGCAGCGTGAAGGCACTCGGGGCGGGGTGGAGCGGGTGGGGTGGGCACGGACAGGCTGCAGGGCAGTGCACACAGGCCTACCCGGTCTCGTCCACGTTTCCTGATCCTACTCGCAGGAAGCCACCCCCAACACACACCTGACAGTGACCTCGACCCCCGGGTGTGACTGTGCGCAGACTTAAGAGCGTAGTCTCCTCCCTTGTGCGCAGTAGACAAGGGGGACTCTTCTCAGAGGGTTTAATGAGCCAGGACCTGCCCGCCTCCGGCGTCCATCGCGCAGGCAGCGCAGCCAGGAGGCAGGCCTAAGGCAGGTGGGTTTCTAGGAGAGCTGTTCCCGGAGGCCTTGTGCCTGGAGATACACACGTGAGCACAGACGCGTGTGCGCCCGCTCGCCGGACACAGCAACGACACGCACCTGGGCCAGCGCTGCTCCAGCCACAAGAGCGGCTGCCCAGGCCACGCTGTGACTGAGGCTGGCTAGGCGCCCGGTGGGCCCATGGGGTGAGCCCTGCGGGGAATGGTCCCAAACCCTAGTCACCTCGTTCTTTCCGACAAACGCAAACACCCCAGCAGGCGTTTTAGGGGAGAAGCCAGGATGAGAAATGGGAGCCCAGGTGAGCGAGGGAGGAGGGTGGCTCTCTTCCGAGGGGCCTGCTCAGGTGCCTGCCCACCGCGGCGTGCCCACCTCAGCCAGGCTCCACTGAGGCTGCCGGGAACGTGCAGGCTGCTCTGAGGAGGGGCTCACAGCCCCCTCCGTGCGAGCCACGGGCAGACCCTGGCCCCAGCTGGCCCCCCCTCCCCCCGGCCTGTGCACGGTGGTGAGACGGCAGGCCTCACGCAGGTGAGGGTCACTAACCAAGCGGCTCCACCTCTGCCCACATCTGAAAGTTTCAAAGTGACCTCCCCTACGTGAAACACCTCGAGCCCTGACTGCACTTGAGCTTAGGAGCAAGCGGCCAGCCCACCTCTGGGGACCGAGGAGGCAGAGTGCCTGGGAACGGGGGTTTGAAAGGACAGCAAGCAGAGCCCCCCACGCACTCGGGGCTCCTTGGGCATGCCCCCCCCCCCTCCAGCCCCATCGGCACTGATGTTCTGACCACACTGGGCTTGAAAACAGTAAGCTGGTCCAGGGGCCTGGGCCTGGGTAGAGGCGACTGTCTGAGGGGCCAGACTGGCCAGTGACTGCCTGCCTGCCTCACCCCTGCCCTTCTAGGCAGAGCCCATCACCCAGGCACGGACCCGGCGCTCTGGGGCTGCCAGGAGGCCCGGCACAGGGTGAGGAGGTGCTGGGGTCTTTCTCTAACACCTGCCAAGACACCAAACTTCGCTCCCGACCAGGAGGGGCGCAAACACTGCAGCCGGTACCGAGTGGGCCCAGCCGCAGGAAGGCCCGCCCCCGGGGAGCGCAGGCCCGGGAGTGGGCAAGCTGAGCTCTCGGATGGGGAGGACGGAGGACCTGGACAGCCGTCTGCACCTGACGCTCACCACACTCTGGCTAACGTGGCTGCGTGGAAACGGGGGGGAGTGCCGTGAAGGAGCCACGTGCTGAGGGGCAGCTGCCAGCAGCAGCCGGACAGAGTGATGTGGGAGGGGACAGGCCTGTCGCGTCCACGGGGCTGTGGCGAGCGGCACAGACTTACACGGCATAGAAAGGTACCTTAAAATTAATCTCTTTACTGATAGAATTAAACTTTAAGTCCTGAGAAGAAAACAGAGAAAGGGAAGCGTGGCGCCGGCCCGCGTGCTCCGCCACCCACC